TTTTTTTTTTTTCAAATTCTCGATTTGACAAAGCTTTTGTCTCTTTGTTTTGGGTGGTTTCGCTATTTTATTATGGGTGGTTTCGCTATTTTATTAACAAATCATAGATGAAAAATATATGGTAAAAATTAATCATCCGAAATTCAAAAAATACTACATCATTATTTTAATTACCAGTTATTATACATATTTATAATAAAATACATGTTTATATCAAACAATGTTTAATTAACAATATTAAACTACTCAACTTTGTAGACTTTTCGTTTAGTTAATCCTACAACAAAATATGAGATATATGTTTTGAGTTCTTTTTTTGGATTTTTTTCCCACAACCCTTTTAAATAATTATTTTCAAATTTTTTATTTTATATAAATGAACACATAAGAATATTGTATAACTCATCTCATGGCAACGCACATGATATATACTAGTAAACACTAAATACAAATCTTCTCGTTGCTTCGAATTATTTTAATTTTATTTTTCAAAACATCAGTTTTATTTTTAATTTCTTAGATCAAGATATAATTTTAAATCTTTTAGATCATGTGCTTTTTTTTAACTTATCTGTTGTTCCCTTTTTTTTTTTTTAAATGCTATTTTTTATTCAACAATATATGAATATATAAAAAAAGAATGAATTAAATAAATATACAGCATGTAATTATTGAAGATTGTTAATGACAAAAAAAAATTATTGGCTTGAGAAATAAACCTTAAATTGAATTCAGCATCAATCATTTAATAATTTCAATTGATCGAACTCATCAAAAAGATATTTATATTTTATAATTATAGAGATTGTTTATGTTATTGGATAATTATATCTAATAATAATCATCATAAAGTTAAACTCAAATAAAAAATAATATATGCTAATAGCAATTTCATTGTTTGTAAAAAAATAAACAAATTAGATTCTTAAAGCATAAATATTGTTTAAATAATACTTGAAGAGAAGTAAAAAGAGTTAAGAAAAAAAAATCTTGAAAATCAAAATAAAGATTTGAGTATAAAAGCATCTTCTCTATGAATAAGAACTAAATGTAATTTTTGTAAGGAATCTCAAGATCAAATTTAAACACAATATCACATGCGTACATTTTATCAAATATATAGTAAAAATTTATCATATAATTATAGGGATTAAAATACAATTTAGTGCATGACATAATTAGTAACTAATTAAAATGAAAATCTCAACGTGCATCTTTCTCCTTAATTTCCTTTTTAGGAATTCTTCTAAAACTCTACTACTAAAAGTACTAATTTAAACTTAACCACATGCCAAGCTTTCATATCCAAAATTTCAAACTTCTTTAACTCAATTATATTCTTTCTATGTTATAAATCGACGTCAAGCAATGGTAATTTCTTTTATGCATATACAGATAATGTGCAATAACAAAAAATGGTCCCACTTGATACAAGAGATGCACAAACCAACAATATGGAATTTCAATTTCAAATTATGTTAGTTCTTTCGTTTTCTATAGCACACCAGCCCCATGATTAGGTTCTAGGACTATAATTTCTTTTTCTTTTTTCTGGGACTTTATTAGTCCCCGACGTATGTAAGATCTTTTTATTATTTGAATAACGGCTTAATGACAAAATTTGCAATCATTCAATTGCGATATGTCAAATTTCAGGTTCTCAACACTAAGTTACGTGATTTAAATTTTAAATTATTAGTTTTATGTAAAATTAATTAAAATTTTTTGATTTCTGTTTTATGTAACGGTCAATTGGATTGATCGTTATTTAGAATGCTAAAACGACATAGTTTTAACATTCCGTTGTTAATTATGCTTTTTTTCAAAATAATACGTTAAAAATATTTCTAACCCCTCTAATCTTAAAATTTTTTTGCTATAAAATATTATAAATATTTATAAATCATATAAAAAACATTTTATAAATATTTTTTATAAAATATTTTTAATTTTGTAGTGTTCATTATGTTTTTTTACAACATTTTTTTTATAAAATGTTTATAATATCAAATGAGCATTAAAATATTTGCAAAATAAATTATAATATTTTATAAATTAAATTTAATTAAGGGTTGACCTCCACTAATTTTATAAATTATAGATTATAAAAAAATTATAATATTTTATCAAAAAAGTTTTCAAGATAGTTTAAAATTATAGGGGTTAAAAATATTTTTAAAATGTTATATATATTATAAAATATTTATAATATTTTATGAGAAAAAAAGTTTTTTTAAAAAAAGTTCAAGATCATGGAGTTAAAAATATTTTTAAAAAGTCTTTTTTTAAAAAAACATAATTAACGAGTAGAATGCCAAGACCACGTCATTTTGATTGATCGTTACGTACAATGATAGTTATGAAAATTTGATAAATTTTATCTAAAAACTAATAGTTTAAAGTTCAAATTAAAAAATTTGGTGTTAAGAATTTAAAATTGTCAAACTGCAATAGAATAGTAGCAAAACTTGCCATTAAACCTTTGAGTAACAAATTTTTTATTAATTTATCAATTTTGTACCAAATGTAATTCACATTAAACAATATTGTCACCCCCCTCGTATATTCATTGTTAATGATAAATAACGGATTCTGTCTAAATTGCACATGATTTTCACATGCTGATTAATTTCTCTGAGAAAAGATCTAGAATATGTTTCAATAAGCTAGATATAAAGTGTAAAAACAACAGTAATGAAAATATTATATGCCAAAATACGTAAAACTTCTCTATTTTTAGGGCATGTCGAGTTTAAACTGTAAGGCTTATTGGAATTTTATCTTGGACTGCTTTATGAGTAATTAATAAAAACTAACAAGCACGTGCAAATCATGTTCCGATTTGATGAAATATTTTGAGTGCCGCTAAAAAAAAAGGGGACAGAAGGACGACATTGTGTAATGTCAATTATGTATGAGATAAATTCAGTAAAATGAAAACATTTGAAACTCAATTGATAATCAAATAACGTGTTTTGGTTAAATTAAGGAGTTTTTTTTTTTTTTTTGTCATTTCCAAGGTTTTAGAAGTGGTAAATTACGGTTCTGATTTGATGGAATCTGAATCTCTTAACTGTCGTTAAAATACAATACATAGAAAGATGACATTTTATAACAGCGATTTATTTTTGAGACAAAATCGATAAAATGAAAACATCCGGAATTCAATCAACAACGAAATTATGCATTCGGACTAAATTGTGATTTTTTTTTTGGGGAATGGGAGACTGTATATAGTTGTTTAAATGTTCCATCTCAACTTACCGGTATGCAGTCTATTTAGAGGCCGGTATCTGTCATAATTACTAAATCTAAATTACGTTTGATAGGTAATACGTTAATGTTGCTTAATTGCACCAATAGTCTTTCAATTTTTCATCTTCGTTGAAACAAGTCTTTTAATTCTATCTAGGTCCTTACTACTTCTCCCCTAGAGTTTATTATATTTTGTATCAAACTATTATTAACTTCTATAATGATATTTTCACTAATCCTAATGAAATCACCCATAAAAATGGCACGTACCAATCCTTCTTTTATACTTAACGGGAAAGTTAATTAAAAAAGAAGAAGAAGAAGAAATCTAATCTAAACTTCACAGGTTACGAAATTCAACTACAACATGGATCTAATTGGATGCATCATTGATCAGCCCACAAGATCCAAGCACGGTAAGGCAGCTACACATGTTCTCAATGTACATGACAACATATGCGATATTTAATTCCTTGTTGTACGCAACTGCTCATAGTTTTAGTTAATTTTTATTATCCAGTGGCTGATGCCATTCATTTATCACAATTCGATTGAAATTTGTTTCTAATGCATGTCTTGAAATATAGGGTGAAAGTGGAATAGTAGTGAACTATAAAGGCAAAAATGTAGTTTACCACATATTGAGTTTTGGATTTATTTATTTTTTATGCAATAATATGGTTCTTGGTCTTTTACTTATTAAAAAAGCACAGATTCGCCCTTCTTCTTTGTCAAAATTGGACAGATTGTTGATAATAATAATAATAATAAAAAATTGGACTGGTTATTATTAACGTTTTTAAATTGACCGTCAATCAGAAATCAAAATAAAAAAAATCCATCATGCTGTCAATTAATTAATAATTTTGAAAAATTTCTCTAAATGTATTAAGTTGATTTGAGGTGTGCGCTTTTAAGATTGCCGAGGAAAAAAATTAATTTTAATTGACACATAAACAAATTCAAAAATATCTTTAATCATCGAATGAAACAATTTTTTTAATTAAAAAAAAAACAACTATGATTATAAGAAAATAAAATTTTCATTTTGTTGAGAGGAAAGATGAAAATGATTCTCTTTCTTGATATGGTTAAATAAAATGATATCCTTTCATAATTGGTTCGCCAATAGTTTCAAATAGCGAATAAGTTCATCTAATTATTTTTCAAAAATTTATCATTGTTTCAAGGATGGAAATTTGCCATAGTTATCATAATTGTCAACTAGCAAAAACTACAGGGACTGATACCACATTGCTTACCGGAATCACAAATGGCAAGAAAACCTTTTTTTTTCCTTCTCTTTTAAAGTGAAAAATAAAAAATAAAAAAAAACAAGCCAACTCCATTTCTTGCAGCTTGCAGTTTAGTTGTCGGTGGACTCAAGTGGGGTCAGCTTCTGTTCCTTCAAATCCAGCCTGTTATTGCATAAGCCACCAACACTTATTTCCCATTCCAGCAAATCCTCACCGTTGATCCTCTCAAACTTGTCTGCTCTTTAATCACCACTGGTTTACCGAAGCAGAAAAAGACATCCGATCTAATTCTCTTTAGTTCTTTTTAGTTTGGTCCGTCGGTCTCTCCTTCGCCATATTCGTTTCTCCTCAACCGAAGCTCCACATTCTATTTGGTAAGTCAAAATCTTTCATTTCTCTCATTTTCCAATGCTTTTCTCTCCGTTTTTAATGATCTGGGGCTTTTCTTGATTCACTGTTTAGGGGGAATACTGGGAGAAAATAATGGAGATGAAGAAGATCTCCATCTGGTTCATTCTTGCGCTTGCTTTGGTTAATTTAGCACTTGTTGTAAACGGAGATGAATCAGAGACGACAATAGTGAAGAAGGTGAAGGGAAAGAAAGTGTGTAAAAGAGGATGGGAGTGTTTAGAATGGTCCGAGTACTGTTGCAATCAAACAATATCTGATTTCTTCCAGCCTTACCAGTTTGAGAACCTGTTCTCAAAGAGGAATTCTCCTGTGGCACACGCGGTTGGATTCTGGGATTACCAGTCTTTCATTATGGCCTCTACCAGTTTTCAGCATCTTGGGTTTTGTACGACTGGTGGCAAGGTTATGCAGATGAAGGAGCTTGCTGCCTTCCTTGCTCATGTTGGCTGCAAAACCTCTTGTTAGTACTCGTATTAATTTTTCTTTTATTAATTGATTAATGCATTTTCCTTTAGATTGAATTTAATTGTTATCGCGATATATGGATTTTATTTTTTTTGCTGTTACGTTGCATCTATTGGGTTGAGTACTGAAAATAAGGCAAAATGTTGCGTGTTTTTGGTTGTTTAATCTTGCTGAGTGACTGAATTTCAAAATCTTTTTTTTGTTAATTAATTGTTTTGGATAGGATGTACTGAATTCTTCAAAAGCAAGTCTTTGGTATGAATCATGTTATAATGAATTTTACGAAAGTCATTGCAGTATAAGGTGTTCTGCGTATGTAATTGATAGTGATGATAATTTTAGGTGGTTATGGAGTGGCTACTGGAGGACCATTGGCCTACGGTCTTTGCTACAACAAGGAAATGAGTCCGAGTGAGTCATATTGTGATGATTTTTACAAATACACCTATCCTTGTGCTCCTGGAGCTGAATACTATGGCCGTGGTGCCATACCAATTTACTGGTATGTTGTGTTACCTTATTTTGTGTCTACAATTTAAAGATCATTTGCTTTTTTATTCGTCTCTTCTTTTGACCCAATCCAATCCTATCCAATAAATGTACTAGTATATTTTGAATATCTGGAGGTAAAATTATTGGAATTATATAATTGTGTGCAAGTTCAAGTTCGTCACTGGCATTGGTGGTTCAAGGTAGGTGTAATCTCAAACTATATTTTTTATTCCCCCTTTGCTTTTAGCAATGCAGAAAACTCCTAGAAAAATAGTCTTACTGAATTGTCAGAACTTACTATATAAGAGAATTCAGATGATGTTTATGCTGTTACTGTAATCATAGGAACTATAACTACGGAGTTACTGGAGAAGCTCTGAAGGAGGATTTGTTGAACCATCCAGAGTACTTGGAACAAAATGCTACCCTTGCCTTCAAGGCTGCAATGTGGAGGTGGTCGACTCCAATAAAGAAATCACAGCCTTCAGCCCATGATGCCTTTGTTGGCAACTGGAAACCCACCAAGAATGATACTCTTTCCAAGAGGGTTCCAGGATTTGGTACGACAATGAATATTCTCTATGGGGATCTTGTTTGCGGCCAGGGTGATATAGATGGCATGAACAACTTCGTCTCCCATTACCTATATTACCTTGACTTGCTGGGTGTGGGTAGAGAAGAGGCAGGGCCCCATGAATTTCTCACTTGTGCCGAGCAGGTTGCATTTAATCCATCTTCTTCCAGTCCTTCAGCATCTTCCTGAACTTTTCATACTGGTTCAAGGAAACCCCATCAAAATCATCATACCGATGCTCTCATAAATAAGGAGTGGGAAATTATGATTGTAAGATTATTTTGAGCTTTAGTCTGTTTGTGAAGCACACGTATCTGGACAGTTATACCATACGGATTGTATGTTTCTGTAGATTTTAAGATTCATTTTGTGTCTAAATTATTCGTTGCATCCTATGTGTAATATGTACTGTATCTACCATTTTGTTATTCAGTGTCCATCTGCTGTTGTACTTAATATTGGAACCAAGTGCTTTGTATCACAAAAGCTCGTCATTGTCGCACTTCTATTCTTCTTTTTGTTCAATTTTTGTTTGCTTTTGGTTCAAAGGAAAGTGCTGGTAAGGCGTTTTATTCTTTCCATCAATGATTCTATTTACAAATCATAAGGTGCATTGCTGGCTGACCCTAATCCCTTTGCCAGCTCATTTCTTGTATCCCTTAGGAGCATATTGCAACGCTCATCAATCCTTTGCCCTCGGTTTTATCTAACTAAGCTTGTGTTTTGTTTTTGATACTTCCAATAACAATGTCTAGGCTTCTCCAATTTATAGGCAGCTAGGGGCTACATTTCCCTTTCCCCCTTTCACTTCAATTTCTGCACCGCGCTTTCTCCCTGTCTCCAATCTCCATTTCCCTTTCCCTCGTCACTTCAACGAGGGCTCCTCCCGTTTTTGTCTCTCAACATTTTTGTTTCTGTCTTTAATAGATAGATTTTAGACACATACGGACCAGAACTAGATTTTTAGACACATAGGGACTAGAATTAGATCCTAAGAGGTGGTAAATGATTGATTGTATCGGAGGAGGAGATGGGGAGAGTGATGCATCACCACCCCAACCCCAGAACATTTCCAACACCAACGATTCTTTGGCTGAGGTTTTGGTACCCAGAGGATCACCCAGCTCAACTCATGTAGTAATTGTGATGGATGCCTTGAGGGGGTTCTCCTGGGAGCCCCTTCAGTGGGCACTTGATCATGTCATTGCCACTGGCTACACCATCACCCTCCTTGGGGTCATGCCATGGATCCCCCTTCCATGTAAGTCTTTTATTCTAGTTTTTCTTATTCATCATGTTTTACTTTGATTTGTGTGCCGATTTTATGTATGCCAATTTCTTTCGATGAAAGTAATTAACGATTACAGATTGGAACCACATCTTCCTGGTTATGAATTTTACCTTCCTAGTGTGATGGGTAGGGAGCGAGGGAAGGAAGATATTAATTCGGAAAAAAGAAAGAAAGAAAGCCCAGCAAGAAGAAAGAAACATGACTAAAAGTAGATGGTTATTTAAGGAAGATATTAATTCGGAAAAAAAGAAAAAAAGAAAGAAAGAATGCCCAGCAAGGAGGAGGAAACCTAACTATTCTTTTCCACCCTATCACTTATTAGTTCTTATCTTTTCCTTCTTACTATCCTTTTTCACACATATCAAATATCAAATAATTATTTCCAACTAATTTTCTTTCACATTGCAAAACAATGAAAATTTAATAATTTTTTAAGCAAAAATATTTTCCAAAAACAAGTTATTTTACATGAAGTAATTACCAAGATTTAAAAAGTTATGGTTTAAAATACGTAATAGTTTCTATTTTAACGAATAAGTTTTTTTTTCACTTGATTAGAATAAATTATTATGCTTGTAATTTTTATTTAAATTCTATGAAAAGAACTATTTATTATTTTTAGCATTAATAAAATCACATTTTTTTCTGTAAAAAAAAAAAAATTTGCTAAGCTTCAAAGCCATAAACAGTTTCACTACTTTGAGTTTTATGAAAATAACTATGTAATATTTTTATTAATAAAATTACGTTTTTCTGTGAAAAAAAAGTAAAAAAAGTAAACTTTAAGAAGCTTCCAAGGCATAAGTAGGTTCACTACTTCACTGGTATTTACTTTCGTGCCTCTTCGTTTTCTTTTAATTGTTTCTCGTTAATGCCCTTTGAACATTAATTTTAGAATTGCGCAGGCTTAGATATTTTAATTTTATGCTTTGATGTAGGATTCAGATCCTCTCCTTTTCGAAAGGGATATTAGGTTTTAGATTTTTGGATATTGGGATTAATTTATTTTGATTTGAGGGTCACGGATAGCACATATATAAAGATATTCTGTGCGTACAATTACATCATGAAGACTTTAATTTAATCTAATTCAGACTGTTCATTTTGCCTTTGTTTGTGCCCGCTAGTGTCACTGAAGACATGGTTAGACGTCTGGACATTTGATCTCGGTGATTGGTCAGCACTAAAGGGTAGGGGTGAACTGAAGAATGACCAGAAGTCTCAGAAGATTCGTGGGATCATCCAGCTCTGCGACCAGAAAGGGGTTCGCAATTAATCTATATTACATATATATCTATATTTAACAGCTAATTGTATATCAAATACGTCCTTTATAATTGATTTAACCACATATTATACCTCCAAATTATAAGGGTTGAAGCAAAATAATTTTTTTATTATTAATTTGGATTATTTAAAAAATATTAATTTTTAAATAAATTTTATCTTTTTCATTACGTCTAATGATTAAGGTGTTGATTATTAAGTATTTTTTAGATAAATTTTATCTTTTTGGTTAACTGAAAGGTTGAAAACATACATAGTTTAAGGTTTATATATATATATATATATATATATATATATATAATTACATGATAGATCCATTATATCTTTAATTATTCAACAATAAAAATTAGATCTTTAAACAACAAAATCATCTAAACTTTTTTGAAGCCGATTATTATCAATTTTTTTTTCAAAATTAATTTTAATTCTAAAAAACAGCTAAACTAAAATGCTTAAAACAACTCTATTTTAAATATTTGAGTTAATGGTCTATATTTTGACCAGAGACATAACTAAAAAAGATAAAATTTGCATAAAAATTAATAATTTGAAATTCAAATAGTTAAATTTGATAATATAGATTTTTTTGTATTACAACTCTAATAATTAATTTGGAGGTAAATTTATATCATTAAACCCTTTTATAATTAATTACCACGAGAAAATTAATCTGTTTCATATCATTTGTATTATTGTCTTGTGCAGGCGGTTCCTTGCATGAAAGTTGCAATGGGGCATCCCTTGAAGCTTGTGGTTCTTGAGCACACCACAAACCTTCATGCTACCTTCGTTGTTATTGATAGGTATATCATAAAAATACGTATCTATTATTATCAATAAAGCTTTTTTTTTTTTTCTAATTCGATGAGTAGGGCAATCCTCCCATCAATTTGTTGACTCAATCAAAAACCTTTTTCCTCAAATAATTTAAAAATGTACCTGTCACGTCAGCAACGTGACATTAGAATAATTAAAAAGCCAATTAATGTTAGTAACTACAGGCATCTGAAAAAGGACAGAGCATTCTTCGCCGACAGATTGCCAAGCAATGCAGTGATAATGAACAGTGATGGAGGGGTAGACATGCTGAAAATGCTGTCTACTGATCTCTCAAGTTCAACTCCCAGAGAATCTCCAGCGACTTTAATTCCACTACCGCCTCACATTGTTATCTCTTGAAGACCTGTCTGAACTTCTCAGGTCCAGAATACATCACCAGGCTGCAGATAATGGTCATGCAAAACCCAACTAATTAACTAGGAAACGTACGCCCATGTACGGTTGTTGAATGTTTTCCTAGATTTCGAGTGCATAGGGATATATATACATGCTGTAAAAATCTCTGTTCACTCTCTGTATCTCTGTTTTTTTTTTTTTTTTTTTTTCATTGAATCAAACGAGGGGACGATGCAAAATATTGTATTTTACGAAATAATATACATAGAAGAAGGGCTCATGGCTGCTTCTTTCCTGCCTTTTTTTATTTTTTATTTTTTATTATTTAGCAGTTTTGATATAGTCTAAAGAGTTGATGACTCCAGTTTGTATGTTATTATGTAAATAGAACAGATTTTTGTTTTTTTTTCTTTTTTTGTATGGCCTGAAACTCAACAAATCTGTCCATGAAAAAAAAATGAAAAATTACGTATCTCCTGGTAGTACCTAATTCTAAGTGTACAAAATTTTAAGAACAGCATCATAATTTTTGTCCTCGTGAGTTTAAAACATAAACAACAGCCAAAAAAAAAAAAATTAATATGTCTTTTCTTCTGAAGTTTGCATCTTTCACTCACAATAATGGACCATTATAACTGTAGTAAAACAGATATGGAGAACGTCACCCCCAGAGAACAAGCTAATGGCGAAGGATCAAATCAGTTGTCCTTTAATTTGAAAAGTAGCTTTCGATTTCTTTCTTTTCCCTGTTTTTCCTACTTAAACTACTTAATATTTTAGAAAAAAAAAATTGATGTTTAAATTTCTTTAATTTTACCTCATCGATGTTTTTACATTTATGTCTTTTAGCGTCAAAAGCTATTAATCACTCAACTTTAAAAATATGATATGGATAGATTCAGTGGTTGGGCAGGAACGGCAGGTAATATGGACAGATCATGATTCAAACAGTAGGCTAGAGACATTAGTTTAATAGATCCTACTCTGCAGAAAAAAAATAAATAAATAAAACATCTTGTGGATGTAAATTAAGATCTGAATCCATGCCAGAAAGATTCTTTCTTAAGAATTTTCTCCTGAATAATTTTCTAAAAGATATACATTCATTAAGTGGAGGAAATTTATCGAAAAATGAGTTGAAAAATATATCCGTAAAATTATCCATTTGTTAGAATAAAAGATAAGGATTACACGACGATCGCCGTTATTTTATAAAAGAGATACATTCGTTCAGTGTAGGAAGTTTATCATTCAAAAATAGATTCAGTGAAATTATCAACTGGTTACAAAGATAAGGATTAGTGGATTACACGACGATTCCGGATGAGTATGACGAGTAAATTATGAATTATTCTCTTTAGCTTTAAAAATAAATTAATTGATTACTTTTATTTTAAAAAACTAATTATTTGGAAATTATATTTCTATTTTTTCAAATTAATTATTTTTGTCTTTTTAAATTTATTTTGTTTTTCTGCTTAAAAAGGAAAAAATATGGAAGAATAGATGAAAAAATATAATTCATTTTAAATAAAAATATATTAAATTAAACAGTGTCAATAATTAAAGAACTACATAATTAATATTTTTTATTTTAAAAACTAATCATTTAAGTTTTTGAGCCTAATTTATAATTTATTTTTGGATGACTACTAATCAATAGTCGTTAGGCATATATCACCTCTAGCTAAAAAAGAAAATAACTAATAATAAGAATAAATTATAAATGAATCCCTCTAATTTTGAATAATAAATTACTTATTATTTTTTTGTTTAAAAAACTAGTTATTTAAATTTTCTTGTATCTTTTTTTAATATATTTTGATTTGTTATTTAAAAATACAATACAAAATAAAATAAAATAAGTTAAAATTATAGAAAGATTGATGAGAAGAAAATAATTGTTTTTGAAATAAATAAATATTAAATTAAGTGTGATCAATACTATTAAAAGATTAAATTATTACTTTTTGAAAAAAATCAATCTGTTTCTAAAATTAAAAAGAATAATTTATAATTTATTCGACTGATCTTAAGCGGTCATGCATATATCACATATAGCTATACAAAAACTAATAGCATGAGTAAATTATAAATTAGTCTTTTTTTGTATTAATCATCGAATTAGTTAATCATTCTTGTTAAAAAAACTAATTTTTCTTGTAATTATTTTTTTTCAATTTATTTTGATTTGTTATTTTAAAAAATAAAAAAATAAAAAAGTAAGAAATATGGAAGTATTAATGAAAAAGATGATAATTTTTAAAAATAAAATACCATTATTTAAACATGTGACTATTTGTTAAAATATTAGATGATTAGTTTTTGAAAAAAAAATCGTTTCTCTCGAAATTGGGGAGTCTAATTTATTATTTATTAGTAATTAGTAATAGAACTATCTATGGTGCCCCTATAAAGGAGAAGAAAGAAAAAAAAAACAGAACTATCTATAATTAAAAAAATAAAAATATTATTGAATAGAGTGAGAGGGAGAGGTGGGCTCAAAACAGAGTGGGAGAGATGGAAAATCCAGAAAGAAAAAGGCTGGCAAATCTGGGAGACGAAAAGCATGGATAGATATCATTAGTTCTCTTCTCTTCTTCTCTACTGCTTCTTTTCCTTTCACTCTGTTTATCTTATTTTTCTGATATAGAGAAAGAAAAAAAAAAAAAGAAGAAAAATCACGACTGGTCGTGAGCATAGATTAGCGGGTCTGGAGTGCTTGGAAATAATAATCAGGGCCCTGACAATAATGGGCTCCTGCTTGTCAGTTGAAGGTGGCAATGCAAAGGCTGATAACAACAACAGCAGCAGCAACAGTACTGTTGTTGATGGCAATAAGAAGACGGTTCCGAGGAGAAGTGATTCTAATAAGCTGGAGATGAGGCTTCATAGGATTCCTGGCAGGTTCTTTTTAAATGGCTCTACGGATTTTGCCTCGTTGTTTAATAAGCAAGGAAAGAAAGGGATTAATCAGGATGCTATGATTCTATGGGAGGTAGGTACTTTCTTCCTTTTCTCTTGCTTTGTTTTCCTTTTCTTTCCTCTTATATATATATATATATGTCATGTCATGTTTGTCTAATATTTATTTATTTTATGCATTTAAATTCAATAATACTGCGTTTTGCTTTCTGGGTTCATTTCATTTGCCCTTCTTTTTATCTATACTTGTTATTGAGCCCATTTCGTGCAATTGGATGCTTTTGAATTTAATATTTTGAGCCTGTGGTTACAAACTGCTGTTCATGCTAAGTCTATTCAAGCGAAAATTTAATTGCTGATTGTAGACATCCATAAAGTTTTTTTTTTTTTAATCTTGTTTCAGAATTTTGGTTCAAAGGAAGATGCAACTTTTTGTGGTGTTTTTGATGGCCATGGTCCAAACGGCCATATGGTTGCAAAGAAAGTGAGGGATTCTCTGCCTTTAAAGTTGAGAGCACAATGGGAGTTAAATACGAGCAGCAAGGAACTAAGTGATGTGAACAGTAGTGCAGGTGGAAGCATGAATTCTGCAGGGACTTCAGTCAAACAAACCCATGCGGAACCTAAAAACAATTTGGGTTATGAGCGTAAGGAAAATGAAAACAACAGTGTCTCAATGCTTAAGGAGTCATTCTTGAAGGCCTTCAAGGTTATGGACAAGGAACTCGAACTACATCCTTATATTGACTGCTTCTGCAGTGGGACGACGGCAGTAACCTTGATCAAGATGGTATCTACTGATAAGAAGTCCATTTATTATTATTTTATAAAAATTAAGTGATTTTTGTTGATTTTTATTTTATGGCTATAGGGGCAGGACCTTGTTATCGGGAATGTTGGAGACTCGAGAGCGGTGTTGGGTACCAGAGATGAAGATGACTCTCTCATTGCGGTTCAGTTGACTGAAGACCACAAGCCGAATCTTCCAAGTATATCTCTTTCACCATTTCTATTTCTTTGTTTTGTTTCTTTGAGACTGAATCTGGCTCCACTTTCTGATTGCACCAAGGAAAGAATTATAAAGCTTTGCCTCTAGTTTTTTCTGACATCTTTTTTACACAAAATTTGGACTGATGTAATAATAATGGAGAATCAAGACTTTTTATATTAAAGTGAAATTGTTTGTTTCTGCTAGAATCTAAAATGGAAGGAGCTGTTTTGGAGTTAGAATTGGTTGAAATTATAAAAGGGACCAGTTAAGACCTAACCAAAACAAGGTCATTCAAGGCATTACAGTTTCCAAGTCTTAAAGAAGAATTGACTTATGGCCATTTGAAATATAGAGCATTTTGCAATACTATTTTAAAATTGTCTGGCAATTTCATTTAACAGCTGAAGTGGTGTTCAAAACAGGTTTTCTTGTTCAGAATATTGGAGTGCATGTGAGGGCAAAAGGCTGTAACTTTAAATGATATTTCGTCTGTTGTTTATCTTTTCATCATGTGTAATATAAACTTGATACCTGTGCTTATAGACAAAATTAAAAACAAAAAATGGATGTTAGTAGAACTTATTTGTGCCTGGATTGCTTAAGGAGCTGAAGTCAGAATTTAGGATGCACCGAGCATTGCCAGAATTCAGGATATGCACGCTTTGTGTTTTTTCAACATGTTTAATGTTAGGGAACTTGCTTCCTGAGTTTATAAGGAAAACTATAAAAACAGAAATGGCTATTGTTAGAAATTGTTTGTGCCTTAGTTGATGAAGGAGTTGAAGTCAGAATTCTGGATGCAAAGCATTTCCCCATGCACATGTCTAGGGGTTACCATGAAATGCTGAATATATTGTGAATATTTTTTCTCCCTTAACGTTGTACTATGTGCACTACAGTATTCCTGCATTTCAGTCCATGTGAAACAATATAGATGTTAGTGATTATGTGCTTAATATGCCACAAGAGTCTGCAAAGTCTTGAGACCTATTGAGATTGAATATGAGATTTAATATCATTATATTCAAGTAATGTAGTATGTGATTAACGGAGTGGTAATCAAACTCCCAGACATTCCTCCTATTAATTTTCCTTGAGGGGAATTGGGGATACACATACCTGCCAAATTAATTGAAAATAAATATTTGACCACAAATTGATTATACCTTGGTTGCATTCACTTGCAGAAGAAGCAGAGAGGATCAGACTTTGTAAGGGACGTGTCTTTGCTCATCCAAATGAACCTGAAATTGCTAGAGTTTGGCTGCCAAACAGCAACTCTCCTGGCCTTGCGATGGCCCGAGCTTTTGGAGATATCTGCCTTAAAGATTTTGGCCTGACTTCTGTTCCAGAGGTTTCATATCACCACGTCACTGAGAAGGATGAATTTGTAGTGTTGGCTACTGATGGGGTAAGACGAACTAGGAATTCTAAAATTCAGATCTTAATATATATATGTATATATGTGTTTTGTAAGCAAGTGTTTGTATGCATGTATATTTCACCCATGCGCTCCATGCGAGGGGACCTAGAGAGAGTCAGATGAACCTTAGTTGTCCCAGCGTTCTTTATAAATTATTCTCTTTAATGCTGGGTCATTATTCAGAACTATATTTTTTTCTCATATTGTTTCACAAGGATTACTTGGGCTTTCTGTTTTAATTTGCTGGCAAAGAAGGTAATTTTGTGATGTACATGAGAGGGATAACTGAATGAAAATCCCATTCACGAATTCTGCATTATTCTTTCTAGATTGGAAGGTTATGAGACAGTGTAAACATTTTTTTTATTCTTTTTCTAATGCATTGAAAAGAGAGGTAAACTAAAACATGCAGAAAACTGCAAGTTTTTAGCTACAGACATGCACATGTAATCATATTGTGGGAATAGTTGGTTATCATTAGAAGATTTTTGAAATTTTTCTGTTTGTTTTTCCGATGATTTGGCAGCTTTGGGATGCCCTTTCAAATGAGGAGGTGGTGGGCATTGTGGCATCAGCCTCGCATTCCAGTGCTGCTCGAACTCTTGTTGATTCAGCCACTCGAGCTTGGAGGATCAGGTTTCCTACAGCCAAAGTTGACGATTGTGCTGCTATCTGCCTCTTCCTTGGGTCAAGATTAGACAATTGCTGTACTTCTTATCTCACACAAGCACAAGGAGCAGGCATTGAAGTCACTGAAACAAGTGAATCTTATGAATAGGAAAGAATGGACTTGCGGAAAGGTTAAATTCCTTGACCATTTGAAGGGTATGCTGTAGCAGTCAGAGTTAGCCCATTTTTTGCAGGGTATCCTGATTGCTCTACTGTTTCTTCCAAAGCTGATTGAATTTAGCAGGTTGGAGCCTAGCTCTCAGAAATAAATCGACAGGGGTCACTGTTTCATGATTGGTCCGCTGCCGGTACATCTTGTTTCTCCTTGTATCCTAAATGGTTTCTCTTCCTATAAATGGGATGGTGAGCATCTTTTCATCGTGCAAGTGTCAAAAAGCGATGCTTTTAAGAGGCTTCATCCTTTTTCTTCTTATTATTTCTTTTGGCATGGGACCATTAATGTCATACCAGAGTCGACCTTGTTTGTCTGTTGCTAAGAACCTCCTTCCCCGTATAGCTTTGGTGGATTTGGAATTTTTGTAAATCAAAGTTTCTAGGTTGTTTCGTCAGGGAAGGAATTTGTATTGATTCCATGCCCTTCCATCTAGATGTGAGCTTTGCACACTTTTATTTCACTGTTCATGTTATTGGCCTCTGTGTCTCTGATTCACATGCAATCCCAACTCCTCTGCATATGTGGCATGTGCATTCTTCTCTTCGATTAGGAAAAAAAAAAAAAAAGGTTGTTTATGAGGGGGAAAAGAAAAGGAGAGGTAAAAAGAACTCAAATGCAGAAAACTTTTGCACCAAATTTTGGTTACCCACAAATGTGGCAAGGCAAACATACAAGGGAAGCTTATAGGGTGCTTTTTTAATGTCTTTTATATCCTTAATTAAATTAATTTTATTTTTATAAAATAATTGATTTGTTAACTTTTTATGTAATCAGTCATGAGGAGGTGGGTAATAGGAGAGGGGAGGGAGAAGTATGGTCTTGTGTGATTTTTTTTTATTTTTAAAATTAAAAAAAAAACTCTAGTTGTGTGTTTTGCAGATATCTGCCTGATATATTCATATTTATTATCATTTTCAATATAATATTAAGTCTTGTATATAATTGATAAAATTGGTTCAATGAAACATGTAAAATATATTAAAATTTATCTCATTATAAGGACAAATTTCACAATTTTTCTAAACATATATTGTGTTTGATATGCATCCGCAAGATTTGAGAGATGTAGGTTTTTGCTTCCAAATCAGGGAACGTTCGATGTCCCAAAACAGAGGCTCTAATGCCTTCTGGTTCCTAACTGAGGCTGGAGCATGGGCCTGGCAATGTTAACAACATTGAACATTTAGATGGAGCAAAACAATTATATAGATCTTATTCACTTCTATGCAAACATATGCAACAGTCCACCCATGAACTATCTATAAAAACAATGAATATGATTGAGTTGGATTAAAAAGTTGACATGTGGCTTCAGAAGATTTGAGATTGGTGGGCATGAAAAGTTGATTTATGGCTAAGTTTAGGTTAGTGCTTTTAGTAGTAGTGTTGGTGGTATTTGTGAAAAAGATGGGAAGAAGATGAATCAAGAATTTCATTTTAGTCCTTGATGTGATGCATCGAATTCTTTCTTAATTCTTATTATGAGATAAAATGTATACAACAATTGAGTTTTTATTAAGTGATCAAATGTATACTTTAGTTAATTTAAGTTTGGTCTTGAGATTTCTTACAGAAATTATACTTTAGTTCTTATTTTTAAAGAATATGTAAGTATACTCTAATCTATATTTTGAATTTCAAGAGTTGCCTTTATTTTTTATGAACATTTTACATTCTTTTCAAGTATTGTTTAGACAATATTTATGTTTTTAAGTATCTAATCTATTTATTAATTTTTTTCATAATCAATAAAATTACTATTGGAATATATTATTTTCAATTTAAATTCAAATTTCATTTTTGTAGTTACTTATCATTATCCAACAAAAGAAACAATTTTTACAATTAATTGACAAGATATATATTTTTCATCGAGTTTGATTAACTGAAATTATCAAATGATTAATACACAAAAAATTTAGCTACATCAACCAATTATGCAAATAATTTTATTTAGTTTATCTATTAACTAAAGTGCATCTATATTTAGAATATTTTTTAGGGATAATTACTAGAAAAATCCTCTAAAAAAATCTTATATCCAAGAAATCCATCAATTTATTCTTAAATCTCTCAAGCCCAAAATAATATTCTTAAAACACCCAATAGATAACCTCTAACTTAACACTAGTTAACTATTAGGTCTTTTGGTAATAAAATTTTTTTATTTTTAGGTTTGAAAGATTTGAAAAAGAAATTGATGAATTTTTTAGATTTTTTTTATATATATTTTATCTAATAATAAACTCATTTCATAGTTTTTAATGAGTTTGATATATATATTTTTTTCATGATCAAGTCAAGTTCTTTTTTATTGCATTCGAATGAAAAAAAAAAAAATTTTTTTGATGTTTCTTGACTTTTAAACACTAATATTCGACTACTTTTTTTTATATTAAAAAGTTCCTTATATTAGAGTTTTTTTTTATCGACCACTTGTTTCATTAATTACGAGATTAATTTTACTATTTAGTAACTATAGTAATCAAGACAATTTAACTAATTAATGTTGATGAAATGAGACTCATGTCATTCTCTTGTTATTTAATCATGCAAATAAGAAAAATAAAATATGTATGATTATGAACATTAGTGATTTTTTAAATCCTAATATATTGATTAAAAAAAACATCATCGGTAATATTATTTTTAATTAATTAAAACTCAACATTTTGTATCAAACAATTAAATTAAATTACAAGATAAATATATAACATATTTTAGTGCATTAATTAAATAAAATATGATCATCCGTGATAGAAATACATATCTTGAAAGATAATGGTTTCATTTAAACTGGAAATAATTACCAAAATACCTTTTAAAAAATCTTCAATATAAAAAATTCACTATTTTGTTTTTACATCTTCCAAATACAAAATAATATTTTTAAATCTCACAAGTTCAAAATAATATTTTTCTTACCAAAAACAACCAATAGTGTTAGAGTGTCTAACACTATTGGTTGTTTTTGGTAAGAAAAATATTATTTTGGGTTTGAGAAATTTAAAAATAAATTTATGGGTGTTTTTAGAAAGAAGATTTTTTTATAATTTTTTTCTAATAATTATCCCTATTTTTTATGATTTATATGAAAAGTTGGTTAAATTAATGATTTAGAAAATAAAAATTACTTGATTAAGATTTTTTTCAGTAACCCAAAGCAGCGCCTGGATTGTTTAACGAGTATAGTATATGCTCCTACTACACAATAACTCCAATTACGCCACTACCATCACTAGATTACGAGAAAAACTAAAAGACCTGGACAGTTGACTGTTCATGTACGGTTCATTTACACTTATTTTTACTGTAGACGGAGACACAGTTGTACTGTGTTGTTTCTTTGCCATTGATTTTTTATTGCACATGATTCTTGTATGAATCTAAAAGAAAACAGGAAACGATAAAGAAAATGTCTGACATTTCGCCCTTTTCCTTTTCCCACCAAGGAAAAAAAAAGAACGCCGACGCAACCCTAATGAGCTAGGTAGGGTTAGCTTGTCAGAGAACCAGACTTCGAGACTTTTTTTTTGTACGTGCTTCTCTGCACACATGGCTTGTCTGGATTTGCTATGCATACTCACTGCCAAGTTAGCAGAGCATGTGATTGGGATTTGAGAAAGAAAGAGATCAGGCTCATCAGCTCTAAGAAGAGAAATATTCTTGGCAGGCTTCGAGGGTTCTGACTTCGGCCATGTGAGGAAGCTGTCTGGTAGGGAAGTAAAAGCAAGTTTGTACGTCCCCACTCAACTGTCAGTGCTTTTTTCTTCCCAATATTTGCGCTTCTTCTTCGCTCGTGAATATTGCATGTGACTTTTTCTTTCGATAATGCTGCTTCTCCCCCTCACACCACAACCACAAGAGACCTCTTCTTATAAAAAAAGGTCAAGTACTTTCATTTCTAGCTACGCTCTTCCTTCTTTTTGCTTACCTACGGCTCTACAGATACTAATCCACAAGTTTTATCACACCGTACTCTTTATCTTGCTAACTAAATGAGCCTCATGAAGATGCAGAAGCAACAAGTTTTCGCCTTCCTTTTCTTCACATCTCTCACATTGTCCTCTCTTATCCACTGTACGTAGTCGTCTCTCTCAAACAGACAAGCACACACAACATTAATGTTTATTAAGAGCAAACTATTGTTATTTTCATCTTCTCTTCATAATTTGCAGGTTTGAGGGCAAAGTGTGCAACTAATGCTCCAAGTGTCCAACAGACTCAGGTGGGAAATGGTAACACTCCAAAATTTATGGTTGAAGTGCACAACAATTGTCCTATGTGTCCAGTTATCGACATCCACTTGAAATGTGGAAACTTTTCTCAAGCTCTCGTCAATCCTAGGCTGCTCAAAGTGCTAGCCCCTGATGACTGCGTGGTTAATGAAGGATTGCCACTCTCACCACTGCAAAAAATTTCCTTCAATTACTCTCATCAGAAGTATCTCATGCAGCCATCTTCTTGGTACTTCCAGTGCGAGTAAACATATCTACGTACGTACCTCTTATGTATCTGCATTATAATGTACTAGCTAATGGAGTACTATATTTTAATTTAACCTATGTTTCCTTTTCATTTTCACTTTTTATTCTCTCTACTGTCTCTCCTTCTCTTTATCAATTCTCTAACCAGTTAATTGAAATTGAGGATACATATGGAGCAAACTCTGTCTACGCCGATAACTTGGATGTCCCTAGAAGAGTAGGATTTGGAAGAATGTTTGTGACACTTTCCTCTTAACCAAATGCATCACGCGCGAGCGCGCGCGCATGGGGAAAACATCAATAACTTTATTTTTTAAAAATAAATAACCAATAAATTATAAGATATACTTTTATAAATTAATCAGTTTAGTTTCCAAGCTTTTCATACAAATAAGTTCCTCTCTTATTATATTAATTTCCTGTAATATCCTTGCAGTACATTTTAAGATTCATTATTTATCTTTTTCAAGGGAAAAAAAATAACAAGAAGATTTTATAATTGCACTTGATACTTATGTAACCTATACTAAACCTTTTAAAGATTTTCAGTTATAAAATAAATACAAAAATAATATTTTCCTAAAAATCCTCTACCATTAAACACGATCATTAAGGTAATAATTACATATGTCCGACGACTCCAACCCACAGGCCTAACACAGTTGCTTGTTTTCCAAACTTGAGGCGGATATCAATCGAGCGAACAATAATTTCCTCCGCCCATTCATATCCCTTGCGGCGTTAAAAATGAAAGGATGAGTGACAGTCAAAGCGTACGTACTGTAAGACTTGGAAGTTCAGTGATTGAGTATGACTTTTCTACCCCACTTTTGTCCTCGCAAAAGGCAGAAGCCAGGTTCAATAAACGAAGAACAATATAGCAACCACACATGGACGATGACAGATGCTTTAATGATCCATACAGATGAGAGGTGGTTAAAAACTTATAGTCCACTGGCCTAAGTATGGTCAGAGGTATTCCAGACGCAATTCCACTACGTGAAAAACTTTACTCAACTGTCAAATGGAGTGAAAAGTATAGAAAATAATACCATCTGAGTGAGGTTTTCAGCTGAAAGGAACAAGGGTATATATAGATATATATATATGTAGCAACACTGTAGGGACCCCTCTTGCAGACATTATGCTACTTGAGCATAGCTCACATAATCATACAGAAACCAGCCGTTCATAAATAAACAAAAGAGTGAAGTTGTATTTCTCACTCAAAACCAACAGATCCTATAGACTAAGTCAACTATGTTGATCTCTGACTTGGAAAATTCGAACCACCTTCACTACTTCTATTGCTCAGTGGTGATGTAGGCTCTTCAAAAATAGGCACAAGACTTGAAAATTATCAACTACTAACTCCAATTGTATTTGATATTTTTGGATAAACGTGAACAGACATTAGATAGGCCATTGGACATTTGGATACAACCTTTGTAATGCCAATATTAGGAAGAGAACTGTAAGGATAAACATAAGAAAAGGTTTACCACTGACTTTCTCGTGGGTTCTAACCCTCTTCCAGGTCCTCTTTTCCAAACCCCTGTTGGAAAAATGCATGCTGAGTCCATGCTTCATAATTTGATCCCTTTTCTCCACGTTTTTACACACATATTCATGTCCTCGATTTCACAGGTCAAAATAGGTCAGTGTCTTAGAAATCCCATCATATTAAATCATGCTTCAAAGGTGGGACTTTAAGCTGGCAGAAAGGCAAATGGACATTTAGCCGGTGAATGTTCTATCAAAACTTAAATTAAATATAATATAATATAACTGCATTTACTAGAAGACCTAAGCCGTGTAAAAAATCTCTGTACACATAAACCTAGGACGAGCTGTAAGCTTTGTGTTCCCCCCATTCACAATGGGAAGAAATATTACCCAAAGTGAATGTCCAGTGAAAAATTTTCTATCCACCATTCATCAATAAATCTAATGATTTCTTTTTTAATATTTGACTTTCTATACGTTAATTTTGACTGTCGCTATTCTGTATTGGTAGTAGCATTTCAGCAAACTAAACTGAGCAGCAGTGTACTTAGCAACAACAACAACAATGTAGCCAATTGCACATTCAAACTGCAAGCAGAATTAATATAGTGGGAACCTACTAAATGTACAGTTCCAGTCCGTTCATCCTGCACTTTGATGCTTGAAGAGCCTGATATCAACAACAACAAATTCAGCATAAATGGAACAGATACCAGAAAACTAAATTTGAACTGTATATAATCATTTTCACCAAGCAATCTTCAGTGATAAGTCAAAACAGAAGTATCATTAGTTCTCAAAACTTTAGGAAACTTCAACCAGAACACGACAAACGAGATTTTCAGCTTGAGTGTAGTGACGCAGTATAGGAATAAGAAAGAATCTTATTATTCGGGTGGCTTTCTAGGATTTTTTTGTTATTATTATTATTATTATTATTGAAAGGTAATATTTTATTAGGCTTCTTATTTCCTATTTAGTTGAGGATGCTAGGGTTTCTTGGTGTCTATATAAATATCATACCCTTTGTATAAGGAACCCCTAAAAACCAAACTGATTGATCCAATGCAGTTATTCCAACTTGAAGTTTTAAAGGTTAAGTTCCTTTTGGCTTGAAATTTTTGTAAAGTATTTCAGTTTATGCTAAAATAAAATAGCATGTAATGTCAAATCAGTATGCCAGTCCTATCCGTCTGATCTTAGCATTTCTCCTTAATTTATTTCATATCTAGAGCACATTAGGAACTTCACCCCACAATCAATAGTTCATTTTTCTTGATGATAATATGAATATGTCTAAATACCACAAAGATGAACCACAAGTTATAAGATCATATTCTCTTATCAAGAACCACTCGCACCAGAATGAAATGTAAAACAGCAAACCAAGATATTTAAAAGAATAGAGGAAAAATAATTTTATACTCACAGTTATATTCAGTCCATCCAATGGCCTGATTTTCAAGATCATACAAGACTAGCTTATTTGAAAGTACTAAATCTGCACAAGAAAATAAAGTAGAGAAAGGATTAGAAGAATTTTGCAAATGATCAAGTTTCTACTGATGGATAATCACAGCAGTTGTCCCTTTGAATTAGTTGTGTTTTTATGGCGGAAGAGAACACGCATGTCCATGATCTAAGAATAAACTGCAATTTAAACTGCTAAATTTGATGTTTTACAAACTTTACACATTCCGTATAATAACCAACATGTATATATTTTGCTTATACCTCCCAAAAGTGTCATGTTCCTTCTATCCCTCGATTGCATTCCACTGTTCTGCCATCCCATGCACCACAAACCTTCCTGTGAAAGCCCAAATTAGAAACCGAGTTTATTTATCTTATTTATACATGTTAAAATTTTGGTAGCAAACACAACTCAGAAATTCGAAGATGAATAAATAACAAACATGGTGCTGTATAAGATATACATCCGAGAAGAAAGGCAAGGCATTAATGAAGGATTGGCCATCAGCGAAATGGCTTTTAGACCATGAGCAACTTCTCCAAGAAACTGGTTTTAGAGCCTTAGAAGGACAAATTGAAGGTCGGAACTTAAGAGCATTTAGGATAGCCATGTACAAAACAGAATGTTTTGCAGCAAATTGATGACCTGATGAGGTAGAAGGCAGAAGGACCTTTTATGAGGATCAGAATAAAAATTCCATGGCTCCTAAATCGAGATAGGTAATGATGTAAGAGAAATTTGAGTTTTTTAATTTCTTATTAACTATGGGGTAGCCCATATTTTATAAAAATTGTTAGTGGAAGTTTTGATGTTATTAGTGCTAATGATTGCATTAGCAAAGGCTAAAACAAACCAACTTCCCTGAGGTATTGGTGAATATCAAAACAGTCCCTTAACTAAAAGATTTTATTATTGATAACTTGAACTTTCAAAATTCTCAATTAGTCCATAACATTTTCACCTATAAAATCATGTCCATAACATCCAGATATTACTTTAGCTTCTAATCATCATTCAAGTTCAAGCTCTAAGCACAAACCAAACTTTAATTTTAAATCTTTGAAAATTTGGGATTTTTTTGAACTTGAGTTTGAAATAGTTTTTGAGGATTAAATGATGTTTAAGATGCAGAGTAGGTGATTTTGGAACCACACAAATGGCAAAGATAGTAGTAAGAAGGTCGCACAATGATGAAATGGTGACAACAAATTGGAATCGGGATTATCCCTTTGACCAAAAGTTCAAGGAGGTCTGTATGTTTTTCCAAAATAAATCTCCTCTGTATGAGTGATGCAGACCAACTGAAGATTTTTGGATTGTTATTTTCCTGTTTTGAGAAAAGACTACTATTGGCTGCTTCACCTATCTATTCTATTATGGCTGAAGTTGATCCCTGATACCTACTCCATATAGCGAAAGAAAGAGCTGGTGTACCCCCAACTCCATCACCTCTTTGGACAGTGGCTTTTGCTTATTCCCCCTGGTCCTATCTTTCCTACTCTTTTCCCAAACAAAGAGAAGGATTTCTCTCCCTATTCACCTGCCTGTCCAAGAGCATTTGGCTTCAGAATACTTGTTTTTCTTTTTTGAAAACAAATTATCTCCCAGCCTTCTGTGTATGCAATGTGTTAGCAGATTCTCACCAAAAGCCCTTGATCTGTCATTTTGGATCTTTTGTAAGGCATTCTAGGATTTCAGTCCGGCTTCCTATTTAGAGATTAACTTCAATTTAGAATACACTATAATCCCACTTTGTAGAAGTTGGCTTTCTATTTAAGTTTGAATTGATATCCCTTTTTTTTTTTTTTTTAGTCGCTGGAGTTTGGCGCCTATAGGAAAGAACTAAGAGTTATGGCTCAAGGAGATGCTTATTTGATGATTTGAATATTGAAACTTCTAGCTTTTCCCTGTCACTGACTGTCATTTCTAGGTTTTTTCCCCTTTATCTCTGTTCTCTGTGCTTACCCTGCTGTCCTGCATCAGTGTGTAGCCATGTAAAAAGTTGTTTTGATGCCCTAGCAATATGGGGGATCCTGTCTTATTTTAACTTTTGATCCTTCATAGCGGTTTTTGATGATTTGAATATTAAAACTTCTAGCTTTTCCCTATCCCTGACTGTGATTTCTGGTTTTTTTCCCCTTTATCTCTGTTCTCTGTGCTTACCCTGCTGTCCTGCATGTGTGTACCCATGTAAAAAGTTGTTTTGATGCCCTAGCAATATGGGGGATCCCGTCTTATTTTAACTTTTGATCCTTCATAGCCGTAAAATAGCAGAATCTTTATCTTTACAAGGAAGTTCAATGACAAGACCTGAATAAAAATAGTGTAGTGTCCACTAGAGATTGCTTTCAAAAAGAAAATTATTGCTGCATAACTGCCAAGATTAAGTCCAAAATTCAAATTATTTTCCTTGAAAACCATGCAAAAGTTGAATTCAAGTTATTGATAGCTTATGAGCCTAAAAAAGCATGCCCATTATTTATAACACTAGATGATTCAGATTTGAGGCCTACAGTCTTCTCAGGTAAAATGTGAAGATGAGAAGCTATTCTAAAAGAAAAGAACAAAAAATATGCTAGAGAACAGCAAAACCAAAGCAGTACGAATTTTTACAGTGCATTATACTTACAAACGGGAACAGATACTCGCGTGGATAAACCTTCAAGATAACTGAGTTTTCGAAATGAAAAGTGACATTAGGAAATCCATCATCCACACTGCAAATGAAAACAAGACATTTATGAGCAGCTGCATTGTGAGCCTCAATACTGAAATATTATTCAGGATGATATCCATATGAAGTCTGACAAACTGAGAAACAAAAACTGGTCCCTTAGTAGACATCTTATAACAGAAAGAATCTGAAACAGAATTGCATGCTTAGTCTAAAGATCATTAAAGGCAGCTTGAACTGAATGAAAGAAATGAATCCAAACTAATGCATTTTTACCAGCACAAACTTATACAGTAAGCATTGCTTTTCTCAAATTAACAGCCATAATCCATGCAGAAGTAGTCATAGGATTTGCTTTCCTATTTTGCTTCAACAACATTTATCTTCAAGATAATACAAAATGAGCCCCAAAGGCTCACCACAGTAGTGACATCTTACAAGACACTCAACACAGAAACAAAGCTGAAAAGAGAAGAGAGTTAAGAACATAAACACCATTGGTAGACCTTCTTCCAATATAAAAGGAGAGCATGTATATGCATGAGATATCTATAACCATTTTTTAATATAATATTCATTAATAAATTAGCTCCATGCTCATGTTTGACGCATGTGAACAAAATCAGTTGTACAAGATTTAAAATATCATATTTGGCATGAATACAAATTTAGAAGATAAGAATAAGAGAATTTTCAAATTAATGATTAGTACCATGCTGATTTTTTATGCACGTGAAACAAAATCAAATGTACAAGATTTAACTATCATATTTGACAAGAATACAATTTTTAAAGATACCCATAAGAGACTTTCAAATTCAAATCTGACATTAATGTTCCTAAAAGCTTTAATGAAAAATAAAATAAAATAAAATGCTACACTATACCTCCCAGAGTACTGGAAACATTTATATTCATCATGAACAGTATGAACTTTCAGATCAGGTTGCTGAGAGATTATCTGATAAAGACAAAAAACACCTAAGTTGAAAATTTTATACTGAGAATTAACAAACAAAAGCTATTTAAATCATATACCTTACTCACTAACAGCTCATAAACCATTTCTGGAAGATAAGCTAAGGTTGTACCACTGTCTATTATAGCACCCTTTCTGTCCCCTGCCTCAAATACATCTGTTGGAAGTTTTAGGAAATCACGACCAACTTGAACTGCCGTCATATTGACATTGTAATGGGGCCTAAAATTTTTATTACCAAAGTATAGCTTCATATATTAAATTCCATACACCAAGATCTAACATGCCTAAGCAGAACACATTAAGTGTTAAATAATAAAATAGTAATGGATGAAGAAACAAATCCAACTTAAAAAGCTCTAAGATCATGAGCATGGACACAAGGACCCCTATCCATTAAACCATATAGTAGTAAATTTGGCATTGATGTTGTAACAAGTTACTATATTGCAACTAAGAGTTAATTTTAAACATAAAACTGGCAACTGATGTATATAAACTAATAATGCATATGAAATCAGCTCCTATCTTTGCCATGTTATAATGAAAAAAGAGTTCTTTTGTAAAGTGAAGATTCAAAAGGAACTTGTTTTATCTTCTTTCTTTTTTTTTCCATATGTTTGGCAGATTCCTTATTCTCCACTTTGTACATTATTTTATTCATCTTTCAAATAGCATCTCTTTCTTTTCCCTAAATGAGAATCCATATTGAAAAACTGCAATTTTAAAATAAATCACATACTGGTTTGGTATCAAAGGAGTCATGTTAACTTTTGGTTGCACAACATGGCCAATGGCAAATATTCCACCTCCATTTGTACCATCTAAGCAGTGAGCAAATATCTTCTCCACTTTTCCAGTTGCTGCCAGTTGTGAAATCATCGATGAATTTGATTTTCCAAAACCAAGTATCCCATCAAGTGCTTCTTCATTAGATGACCCTAGATCTCCTGATTGTCTAGCACCACACCTATCCCGCCATCACATCAATTTTCTCAAATTCAGTAGGTAGAAAGACAGATAGTTGTAAGAAGAAGAGTGATAGTAAATGAAGAAAAAAAGGATAAACCATAGATACAACATGCAGATCTGTATGAATGCATATACATACATTGGATGTCTTAGAATGTAAGCAAAATTAGCAATAATTACAAAAATGGCACGAACCTAGTAAAAATAAACTTGCAAGTTCCTAGGCTATGAATACTGACAACCATTTTAATTATTAAATTTGTAAGATTTCAAATTAGCTAACTGCATGCATGAAAATGGCTGAACCAAATATTTCCAAAGACAGAATGTCAACTCAAGCCAAAACTAATCAACATATATGTTATCTATCGTCATTGTACGAAATTTAAAGAAGCATGATCAAAGTTTCTTCTGTCAATCAATATATGTAATAGAGTTAAACCTAAACTCTAGTACGTCGTTTTTTATTTTTTATTTTTGGATTAGTTTTCCAATCTCCTTTTTCCTTTAAGCCCTCTCTCTCCTTCACTCCTGTTCTTCTACTTGTCAAATCAACCCTAGCTAACCAAAACCTTAAATATGAACTCAGCATGCAAATCGAGAAATTTCTCGTAAGACAATTAAACACCCATACTGGATGTCAAGTGAGGACATTGAAGTGCTTTTTGAACAATGTGCCACCCTTAGCTATTCATAATAGCTTGTTCAAGGTGCTAGCCAATTGTGCCTCAACCTACTAGTCAACACCTTCAGCATAAAAAGATAAACTATGTGAGTGAAAGGCCTTAAAAAACTACAATGAAAACGAATTCCAACCCAATTGAGATACATCCACATAAATGCATCTAAACCGAAATCCTAAATTTGTAAGCAAGCACTTGCAATCTACCAATTGGTAATACTATGTTGGCCTGGGTCAGTGCATCATAGCAACCTTATTCGTATCATAACAACATAAGAAACTGATATTCTTCAATACTCCCTGATGCATATTTCATAAACCTAAAACAAGTTCAAAATCTTCCTTTTGGAAAAACATGCAATTTGTTGTTCCTTTAGACAACCTTTTTATGCATAGAATTGGACTAATACCATAAATGGCAGTAAAATAAATACTGAAATTGTTCACAGCATACATTTCAATTAACGTAGACAAAGAAATGTGTCCATAATCAAACAAAGACAAGCTGCAAATATTGAATATTTAACAATGCATCAGCAAAATCAGCTTACAAATAGCAATATTATTAATTATGTATCCGGATAACTTTTCAAAATTTGTAGTTTCCGAATTTGCACTGTGTCTCATCATACTTATATAGAATAAAATATCAGTCCTAATGACAGTACCCAATGACAATCACAGAGTAAAACTCCTGCAAGTTCCCAAAAGACCCCTTTTTAGTAGAAAACCCCGAAAGACTTTCTATATGAAGAATTACCTTTGCAAAAACAATAACCAAGACAAACCCAAGCCATCAACCAATCACTATAAGAAAATGTGACAGATTAAAAACTTAAGTCCCAAAGTTTCCTCTACCTTGTGACCATAGCACTCATCCATCAAATCCTTTTTCTCTAAGCATGTGAAACATTGAATAACCTAAGTAGCCCCTTTATATGAAGTTTACACCCATTAATCAAAACTTGCGTACCCAGTAGTGGCATTTGTGCAAGACATTCAAGAACATTAACAAACTCACCCGAATATAACACTTCCATTTGCTGCAGTAGTTTTGAGATCACCAGAAACTCTAGCATACTGCACAACGTCCTTGACAAAATAACCAGCAGTGGAACTCCCATCTCCATAAATCTCAAGATACGGACAAGACATATTGGCTATGCAGCCAGATAACGGACCCCCATTTATCTCATAGCAAAACTCTTGATCACAAGGAACCAACTTCCCAGTGTCCGAGTCCTTTATATTATATAAAGTAAGATCTATCTGTAAAAATAAATATTAATTCAGAGACAACAATTATAATTAAAAAGAAAAGAAGTTGAACATCAAAGAGAAGAAAGAGATAGAGAGTGGCATACACCAAGGGAGCTAGTTCGAGGGCATTCTCTGCATTGAATACAATTAACCCACATAATATCACTTCCTGTATCCACTTGTACATAGTAGTCCTTCGACGGAGTTCCAATCCCTATCTTAGCATAATATAGCCTAAAGTACAAATAAAAAAAAATACATTAATAACTAGTAGTAAACTATAAAAAATAAAATCGATGCATACGTGAATCATAATTCATAAGCCCTTTTAATTTAATTTAAAACCAAACAAAACAGAGGATTATATGTATATATGGAAAAACGAACCCGAGGGTATCGGGACGACCGGTGCCGCCGAGGGGAAGATCGACGCCGGTGAGAATACGGAGCTGTCGTTGATCGTCGTGCGCTTTTAGGTCACTGAGAGAACGTTGACGTCCAGCATATTTGTATTTGACGCTAAATACTCCGTTGTTTGCAGAAACAATTGTTAAAGAAATCACCATAATAATAGTAAGAAGAATACAAGACTGAGCCTCCATCATCACCATCATTGTCCCCTCCCCGCTCACCAAACTGGAATTTCGCGCGACCGAGAGACCGAAGCAGAGGAGAATAACAGGATTTTATTTATTTATTTAAATAATAATTTATTGGAGAAGGGAAGGAAAGAAAGGAAGAAGACTATTGGGCATTGAGTGGGGGGTGGACCCGCACAGTTTGCCGTATTCACATTTTTGGTTTCGTGAGGGAAGAGGTAATGGAAGGAAAGAGGCGAGGGGAGGGACGTGAGTGAATTGGCGTGGCCTGCCGACTGGCGACTGGCGTCCACTTTTTTAGTTTTTGTCAAACACGGCCCTATGGTTCTAAAATTGACAGTCGAGTGCTTGACATTTCAATTTCGTACTCCGTCCGTCTCTTTATCCAAAATCAGCTTCAATTGCTGTTAAATTGGAGCTTATTACTAACGCTGCCACCACATAATTACCCATTTCGTAACCGCATGATAGCGCTTGTCATAAATCGATACAATAGAGATCCCTTGGTCCCATTTTTTTTTTCATCCATCTAATTAACAAATCTTTGAACTTCGGCAAACCTATTAATAGTTTGAATTGTTTTCTTATTTATACTAATTTTGTTTTATAAAACACGTATCCAATTTGAACACACACACAAAAGTGATACAATTTTTTTTATCAACTGAAATTGGATGAAAAAATTCGTATCACTTATATATTGAATCCAAATAACAATAAATATAATTTTTTTTATCAACTAAAATTGGATGAAAAAATTCATATCACTTAAAAAAAATGTAAAGAAGCATTTTAAAGGAATTTATATATTATTCAAAAAGTAAATTATTAAAAACACCATGTATTTAGATTGCATAAACACTCTACACTTTTATTTTTAAAAAATTACACTTTATATCCTCTTTTTTTTTTACTTTGTAGTTTTAATCCGATATACAAAGAAATAACAACAATACCATAGTATATATAATTAGATTTCACCTGTTAACTTAGCATAACCCATCCCTTCCCAAACCAATAATATCTCTCACAAATTCGTTTGTTTTTGTGTTCAAAGAGAGAGAAATTGTATAGAACACCGATCCAAAACCTCCAAATCTCTTATAATCAAAGAACTTTATTGTGTATTTTCATTGATTTGTCCTTGTTGTGGTAGTTTTTATTTGAATTGAAGACGGTTGGAGGACTATTTGAAAGTGAATTCGGGAATGCCAAAAAACATAACTTGAAATTTAAATTTTTTTAAACCAAATATTGTTAGTCCATAAAACCCTAGAATTAACATAACATTTATCTAATCCCGAGAAAAACCCATTAAGAATTTTGTTGTTTTGAAAATTTATTAATCTACAATTAAAATTGTCGAAGAACCTTACTTTTTTAAATGTTTAATTTTTGCTTCTAAACAACTTGTTTATCCTTTAATTGGTAAACACGTAGAAAAATTATGGGTTTTAAGGTTACTTTGAAATCCAAAAAATACTCAAATCCAAAAAACCTTAAATTTTTTTAATGTTAACTTACTAAAAAGAAAATGATTACTTATTACGACCTTTGTTATGGTTCGATGTATATCACAAAATGCCTAAAATACACATTCACAATGGAGATCAAACCTTCATTGAGCAATTCTTATTCATGAATTACCTTATCCATCTAGAATTACTATTTACGGCCAAACAAATATTAGATGTAGATTTGAAGGGATTTACTATTCAAGATGATCGTCGAGTTGAACTAATTGATGACAAGTCCACTTATTAAAGTTTTGTACGCCCATGAAAAGAAAGAGATTATCTATTTATGTGTGGAGGAGGATCCTAATAGAAAGCTAATAACTTTCCCAATGCAAGGTTGTTTCTACTATAATTATAATAAAAAGAGGCTCGACTATAAATACTTTTCACAACTATGATGTTGGTGATGGGATAAGTATGAATGACAATGAATGTGAGGCATGTGATGACAATTGTGTTGTTATTAGTAGTGGGGTTTTAGTTTAGATAATAATACACTTGTTTGTAACGAAGAAGTATGTAAACATATTAATATGGATCAGTATTTAGTTAATGAATTGCATGTGGAGAGTGAGGATGTTAGTTTAGACATTAATTTACTTGTTGTTAATGAAGTAATGGGTAGTCAAATTAACGAGACTAATGTTTTGTTAATTATTTACATGTGGGCGATGGGAGTGTGATGGGTAGTGAGTACGAGTAATAATGAATTTATTCGAGATATAATAAAGACATATCATAAGAATGTAACTAGGGAGTTTAATATAAATAGACGAGAGGAACATGATGAGGACCAAAAGAAAAAGATCACATTAGAAAATAAGATTAGTTAAGAAAGTGAGGTCGATAATAGGACGAAGTAGTTGAATTTATTAACTTAGTTGGCTTTGATAGTAATGAAGGTTACGGTGATGATTATTTACCATTAGACGAGGATGAGTATGAGTTTGGAGATTATGAAGAAGATGAATGAATTGTAAACATGCATATTAAAATAAAAGAAGAGTTGAAGCTGAGTTGGTAGAAGAATATGAGAGCGATAAGGAGTGGCGACTTAGTGGGGATGAATCGATGAGCATGATATATGTAAGAGCGACATAAGTGATGATAGAGGTCGTAAGAAAAGAAAAGAAAAAGATTATTGATCCAACTAAGAATATGGCGAGTCAAAAGGTTTACTTTCAAAGAAGATGGAAAGATAGTTTTTTAAGAGTTTTTTTTTTTTAGTGTACTATCTCTAAGGATATACTAAAATTGTACGAGGTAAAGAAAGGATATAAATTGAAGAGAATAAAAAGGATAAGGTTAGTGCATAATGTAAGGATGCTAGCTATAATTAGAGTATTTATGCATCTTTATTACCTAACGAAATGACTTTACGGTGAAAACATTGAAAGAAAAACATAAATGCATAAGACCATCGACTAACGAGGCTTTTAACTCAATACGGATTGCTAATAAGTTAATGTTTTACATTAGTGTTGATCTTGAAATCTCTAATGCAACACTAAAGGCAATATTAGAAAAAAAAATAAAGAATTAAAACACAGGCCGATGTAGTTATGGAGGGCAAGAAACAAGATAAAATAAGTTATTGAGGGGAATCATAATGAATCATACAAGTTTTTTGCCTAAATATGTTGAGTTATTGAGGTAAACTAATTATGGTTCGGTTCTTTATTTGGGTTATGATACCGATTATAATTCTCAAGCTACATCAACAAAGAAGTTTAATAGGATATTTATTTGCTCGAATAAAATGAAATATGGTTTTTCGACTAGGTGTAGAAGATTTATAGAATTGGATGATTGTCATCTAAATGGTCTATTTGAATGAGTTATACTTGTAGGCTGTATGTTTGGATACGGATAATGGTTTATTTCCATTAGCTTATGTTGTTGTCCAAGTAGAGGATAATGACAATTAGGAATTTTTTCTCTCTACTTTATATGACTATATAAAGTCTAAAATTCAAGAAAAGGCTTTGTGTGTTTATGTATAATAGACAAAAAGTTTGAATAAATACTATATGTATTTTACGCTTTTCTATTGACTTCGTGTTAAAAAATATTGCAAATATTTTACCAATTTCTACCATCCTTTGTAGAGTTTTCCAAACAATGAAGAAGGTTTTTTTCTAAGTAACTCATAAACATTGTACTAAGCATATATATGTCAACTTTAAGAAAAGAGGGTTTGTGGGTTTTGAAATAAAGTTAGGTTTACGGGAGGCTAGTAAGGCATATTATGTCTTTCAATTTAAACATCATATGAAGGCTATTAGAGCTATAAATTCTAAAGCTGCTAGGTGATTCCAAAAAATACATACTCAAATATGGTCAAAACATATATTTGGTAAGAATGTGAAGAATGACACAAACAATATGGCTGAATGTTTTAATCACTAGATTGGAAAATTTAGAGGCTTACTTATAAATCAGTTAGTTAAAGAAGATTAGAGTGAAAATAATGTCAAAGTTTCATGCTACATTTGTAAAAGAAACATCTTGGCAAACCAAGACTACTCCATTTGTGAAGGGGTTCTTGACGAGGAAGTTGACAAGGTAAAGAGTCTAAGAATGAAACTAGCTAATGTAGATGGCTATCAAGTTTGTGATGATTAATGAAGGATATGTGTAAATTTAAGACATCCGAATGTTCTTGTGGTGAATGAAATATGACTGGGATCACATGTAGACATATAACGACTTTTTTATCTCACAAAAGAGGTGACTTAGAAGATTATTATGGCGAGTTGCTAACAATCCCTAATTTTATCAAGACTTATTTTGAAGTGGTTCACCCTTTGTTTGAAAACAACCTAAAAACTAAATAAGGATAGTTTACTATCTTGCCTCATATCTTAAAAAGGGGCATTGGTAGACCAATAAAGAATAGAAAAGGAGAACAAAGAGAAGAAACCTCTAGCACTTTAAGGGAAAGGTCAAGCACAGTTACATAAAACATATGTAAACATTTTGGTCATAACTCGAATAACTTGTCAAAGGGACATTGTTGTGTAGTAATAAAGGGTGAGTCAAGCCTTTTTGGTTTATTTATTTCAATATAATTTCACTTTTATTATTGAATAGATTTGGTTTGTATTTTTATTAACATGTTTTGTTTGTTTGTTGTTAACTTAAATTGGAAGAATTGATGGTGAAGATAATGGCGGGGGTGGTAGGAGAAGAACTCGTGGTAATAAAAGTGATAATACCTTTAATGGTAGTTCAAATAGCTTTCAATATGGAGAAAAAAAAGTTATTGGTGTTATAAATAGAGGTGATATTGGTATATAAGGTAGTAGGTGTGGTGGCAAAGGAGCTCATGGCAAAAGAGGTGAGAGTGATGTTGGATGCAACTCAAAGATGATTGAAATGACTTTTATTGCAAATAAGATAATAAATGATCATTTGTTTATAATATTTAATTGTATTAATTTTGTTGTATTCCTTAACATTTCATTTTAATCTAGTTAACAAAATAAAAAAGGAAGG